GTTTGAGAGAGCAGCAGTGACAGGGGAGAGCAAAGAATTGTGGCCACAGACAGTAAAAGTGACCGTAGCTCTGACGATAATGGGGGTAATAACATTGCGGGGACAGTAAAAAAAATTTAAAAAAATCACAAAAATCTAAACCCTGATTCAAAATTGAAATATAAAGCATTTTTGATGAATGTGGCAAAGCCCTGGGCTATAGACCAGATGGTGGCGGCAGAACCAGAGTCAGACACAGACTTAGTGCGACCGTGCCCATCCAATCCCACCCCACGCAAGCCTCGTGTGGATCCCACAGGGCGACTCTTGGGTGATATGCGGAAACATACCCTCGTGAAAATTGTGAAGAGTGAGCATTCCAAGGGGAAGCATCTCTCTAGGCAATGCCGTGTTTCCACAGTTCACAAAGAAAGGAGCATGACTACATTTGCAAGTTCTCTGTAATGCCACTTCACAAAGGGGAATGTTTCCAGAAATATCACATTCTCAAGCACTTCTAGGAGCATTGGAAAGTGTTCTCCAAAAATTTTAGTTAATGAAATTAATTAGGAAATTTTATATTAATATTTAAAGTGAACAGTGCACAAGTTAGGGTAGTAGGTTTAAAAAATGCCGGTCCCCAGGGTGCTTTAAATATTTAAATCGCCGGTCTGTGAAGTGTTAAGGTGACTGAATTGGAAATTCATGTATTAACCAAAGGCTCCTTGTTATGCCCCATAGTATCTGCAATTAAATTTTTACTGTTTGTGTGCATGTGTGCCAGTATGTACAGGAGAGAAGGAGTCAATGATAGACTTATTCTTGCTGATTACTTGCAAGGGAATCATGAAAGGACATAAGTTTAATTGAATTCTCATTTAATGTTCCAATTTTTCCAGTTCTGTGGGTTACAGTTCTCCTGGTTTCAAATGTTGATGAATTTTCTTGATTCTTATTGCTTCAGGTTTGTGACACTGAAGAAGACATTTATGTTTTTGATGAAGAAGATTATTCAGAAGATGTGAACTTAGCTGCAGCCCAGCTAGGGCAATATCAAGCGTTCCCGCCATATCCTCCAAATTATACTAATTACCGTGGCATGACTGGGATTCTTGCTACACCTTCAAGTGTATCTTATCCAGCACCACATAGTGGCTCACAGACTCCTCTGCTGCCTCCTCAGACAGCCATTGGGGGCTTCTTCAGGGGAGTTGATCCAGCTGCAGCTGCAGCTAGCCTTATGTACCCTCCTACACTTAGTTATTATGCTGGACAAGGGGCACTGCCTTTCTCTGAGGGCCAGCAACTACCAAATTTTGGATCTGCTGGTCCAGGTATCCCTGCACAGGTAGGTAGTCTTTGTAGTTTCAGCACTCATGACAGTTTACTTCTTAAGCAGAAGCATAAGCATAAAAATGTTTAGCATATAAATTTTAGACAGGTGCAAATAGCGTTGGATGCTGTTGTGTCTCTTAAGTTCATTAAAAATAAACTAGGAACATTGTGTTGACACCGCCACACTTCATCTTTAAGGTAGTGTGATTATTGGTGTGATCTTCATGCAGAGCATATAGAAATATATGTGTTTGTTACGTGTGAAGTAAGACTACCATATTCTAGTTTTGATGCTTAATATGATCACAGCACAGATCTTCAAGTTATTGTGCTCAGTTGTGTAGAATTTAACTGGCTAAATTACACTATATGGAATGAGATGACCTATTGGACTGAAGAGGATGTCACATGGTTTACAGTTCTCAGTGGTTACAGCTTGAAGGATGTAAGCTGCTTTCAGGTTCTAGAATGTGAACATCCTTCTAGATGGTTAGGTCAGAGAATTACATCTGTTGGATCATGTTTTGTGATATCCAAATGCACACTCCACAAGACATGGTCAGATAAATGCTGTATGAGACTTGTGTGATTCTGTGTGTACGTGGCACAACCCTCTGCATCATGCCAGACTGACTGTAAATGCCTGTGCTTCTGTACTTCATTGACTTCCTGCATCATAATAGTTTTCATATTATTGATGTTTAAATTCATTTCTGATATAAATGATTTATGTAACAATTTTAAATACTAACATAGTTGGTATGGCAACTGGCTATGGGCTGAACGACTGGGGGGTCGGAGTTCGAGTTCCAGTAGGGTTAAGAATTTTCTCTTCTCCACTTAGTCCAGATAGGCTCTGGGGCCCACCCAGCCTGCTAGCCAATGGGAAAGGGGGGCTTTTTCCCTGGGGGTAAAGTAGCAAGGGTGTGAAGGTGACCGCTCACCTCCAGTTAGTGTCAAGGTCCAGAAAATGTGGATCTATAAATCCACTCCCCCATATGCCTTCATGGTGTAGTGCTTAATTAATCAAGCACAAGGAAAACTTCATTCTTACCTCTAGAATTATGTAAAATTTTCTTAACAATGCATGTCCCTGAAGATGGTCATTGAAAACTTGATACACTTGACGGTTGATCTTTGAATATTGACTTCAGTTTGCCACTGCACTGAAGGTGGTTAATTCCTGTTAGGTAGATTCAACTTCCTTATGCATTTCTTTGGCTTAGCAGGTGTTCTGAACTGAGCTGTGTCGTGATTGAAGGCTCCATCTGTATGCGAGGGACTGCTCAGTTGAAGCATTGTCTGACTCGTATACTGACCGCTCCTCATCTTGTATTGATGAAATGTTTTTTGGCACTTTTGAGAGTGAAAGGTCTTACATTGAGTTGTGTTTTGGAATGTTTGCATGCCAGACCTTTATGGTTAGTGAAATAATTCTTAGTTGTACTTTTTTTCATGTGGCCACCATTATTTCGTTTACCCTTTTGTTTTTCTGTATACCTCATTTGAGAAAGCATTCTCAATGGCATAGTGAGTACTGATGTTACTGCTGACAAGTTTCAGTAACAATGCACAGCAAAGAGAAAATAATTTTCATAATATGACAGCACACAAGCACAATGAATTGAGCAAGTATAGTTGAATTGAAAGTGAAAATTGAACAAGCTACAAATGAGAAAAAAGGGATGAGATGTACCCATACTGTGATTTCAGGTAGTGGTTTATTTTATTTGAGGGGCTGTGAGGTTCAGAATGCTGAAAGTTTTTACAGATCCTCAAATCATGGTTTTTAACCAGAGATCAGTGATCAGTTCTTGCCTATTCTTGAACCAAAGAGGCAGTTGTTTGGTAGTAAGGAGAAGACTGCTAATCCTGCTAACTTCCTCTAGGCAGAAAGAAACAAGCAGCAGTGCATAGATAGTTAGTTAGTTATTGGAGAGGGTGGGTTTCCCCATGCACTGAGACCTGTATTGGTCCATTGTGCTTCCCTCTATGATTTATACCATTCTCTATATCCTACCGGTACTGGTGCTTACCATCAGTCCCGCCCAGCCAGTGAGACCAGCTCTACTAGCTGAGAGGTATCTATAATGCTTCCCCCATCTACCAGAGGTATTAGAGACTGCTGTTGGGCGAGAAATGTCCGTTAATTTGGCTGAGTGACCTCCTTTGGAGATATGAGGTTCTTTTACGTGCCGTAAAGCTACGACACGGGACCCACGGCTTAAAGTCCCTCCCGGAGGACTTGTTCCCTGAATTTTTCCACCCTTAAAAATTCGACCACCGCCAGTATTTGAACCCGCGTACTACGAGTCATGAGGTGGGAACGTTACCTCTAGACTATGGAGGCCGCTAGCAGCAGTGCATAAGAAAGTGGACTGAGAATTTACCTCCTGTATGATCTATTGTGGATGTCTGCATTCCGGAGGGAGATTTAAAGCTTACAGCTAATGACATTTATTAACATTTCCACACATTACTGTCCAAACATAGACGTGACATATTTTAATGTCCCTTATTGTGTTTAAAACCTTTTTATGTATAAGAAAATGACAGTGGCTAAACAAAAAATGTTATGGTGAAAAGTATGGGATTCAGAAAATTATGCTTGTGTTGGCTACATCAGCTCACAAGTGAAATGAATCAGATGCGTCTTCATACCTACAGGGCCTTTAACGACCAACCATGAAGCAGAGGGCACTGATTTTCACGGATGAATCATCACAGGCCACAAGTCATGGGTGATTCATTTATAGCTTAAACTAAATGGACTAGCAAAAAGTGGTGAAGCCCGAAACATTTCCAGTAGCACCATGAGCTGGAAGGGTGACGTTTGTTTTCAGGGATATGACTACCACAGTGATACACTTCCTACAAAAAGGATCCACAATAAATAGTGAAACATGTTGAAAGTTCAGAAGGAGAGTCTGAAGCTGGGGGTTCCAAAAGAGTGCTAACCTCCAGTCTAAAAATAAATTTTAAATTGATTCTAACCTTTAGCACTGATACATGAACCCTTACAAATGGGTACAGTAAAAGCAAAATCCATCCAGTAAATGTCAAAAGTTTTAAGTACTGAGAAAAAACATAAAGGGTTCAAATTAGAATTAATTTTTAATGAAGGAGTTGGAATCCAAAATTTATTAATAGAGTAGAAAATAAACAACTGTAGTACAGTGTACAGAATATGAAAAAGAGTAGCTAGAAGAAGGATGCTGAGAATGATATTGGAATTCCAATTTAAGGGAAGGAAACTTGTGGAACAACTTGGAACAAGATGGTTGAGCCAGGTACTAGAAGATATAAAAAATACGAGGAGAAAGTCAAAATGGGTAGGAAATATATGTGTAATGTGACATTTGAAGTGCGTTCTCATATTTCATGTGAGAAATTAATGAATGGTATTGACATGCTACATTCCCATGACAACTGTATTTTTATCCCAATTTAACTAGAATTGAATTTTGTTGGCAGATTTTAATAAAAATGAAACTCTGTCATTTGGGAGCCAAGTTGTTTTGTATGGACTGATTGGACAGACGACAGACACACGTGATGAAACAGATAGGTGCTTTTCACAATTCTTGGAGACATTCCAAAAAAGAGAGAATGTGGGAAGATTGAAAAGACTAGAGATTTTTGATCTGTCATGCCAATGGAAGAAGTCTGAAGGAAGCCACTGAGGGAAAATGATGCACTTTGCTCTCTTTGCTCTCTGAAGGCTGTTGATTGCAACATGACAGTGTACATCTGCATACTGCTTGGGCAGTGGTTACATCAGTAAAGAAATTGCCTTACTCACCAGAACCGTCTTCTTGTATTGAACCATAAGAGTGGCACTCAGTGATTCCACTTTTTGTGTTCATGAGGAGGTGCATTGTGTGGTGTTGGAAGAAAAATATAGAGAAAGAAAGAAAGTGTTGAGAAATGTTTTTAGTTACTTGTACCATGAAGCAATACAGGTGTTTTATAACAATAATTGTTTTCAGTTGAATTACTCCTTTTGTATCATTTTCAATACCATCTGCAAATTAGTGCATGGATTTGTAACTATATATATCCTCTGCCCCTTATATAAAACTTGATGCATTTTGTGGTACATCTCCTTTACATACCATGCCTGTCTCTGTTTGCCAGGCTGCATCTGCATCAGTGTTTTCCCGACTTGGTGCGTCAGCCGATTCTCCAGGCAGCTTACATGATCCAAAAGTTACTGGATCCACATCAGTACCACAACCATTGCCACTACCACTACCGTCCCAACATCAGCAGCAATCAGTTGGACCTGTAAATGTTGTCATCACCTCATCTGACACGTTACCAACATCTGCCCCAACTAATCAACCTACATTAAGTGTTACAATTCCACCACAACATAGACTGGGCACTCCTCTTGTGAAGCAGCCCACAACAAACCACCTCCATCTACAGAGCACAACTTCAGCTTTCACATCTACCACTGTAAGTTTTTAATGATGCAGTGGAACCATGATATAACAAGCATGACTTATTGTGAGAACTTCATTGTAACAGAAAAGAAAACATCGGCACCAATAATATGTTAATATTACATATATGGGAAAACCTCACATAGAATGGTGGCGTTTTTTTCTGCATATTCATTGTAACGAGCAATTCCTAGGTATCCATAAGTTTTGTACAAACTATAATTGCAGGTTTTTTCCCCAAACTACTTATAGTTGGCAGAAAATTGACAACTTCTGCGTTCAAATAATGCAAACAGTATCAAGAATGTAGGATTTGAAGTTTTCACAGCGGTGACTATGGAGAAAGCAGTCTTCTGGGATGTGGCGCCATATAGATGTGGTGTTAACAGACGTTTCGGAGGAACATATCACCACCATTTTCAGGGTAGACGGGGTTATGTCTCAGCAAGTCATGGAAGCCTCTCATCTGTTCCCTCAAGAAACCCCCAGGACATGATGCCAGATCCACAAGGCCACGCAAGTGCATGACCGACTCGTATAGCAACCCCCCAGCTTAAGGGTTAATGCCCTCCCATTGACCTTGCCTTTCTCCCCCGATACAATATCCTATACCTGCTCTAGTCTTGCTACGGCTCCCCAGACCCTTCCCCTCTCCCTCTTCACTGATTTCCCATGTAGATCTGTTCCTTCCTTTCCTGTTTCCTGCTCTCATACAGCTGAGTTTATTTCCGACATTAGTCTGTTTGCACCTGTTCTCATTGTCTCTTCGCTTGTGGATTTTCTCATTTTTTTTTTCTACCCTGAAGATGGGAGGCGATACGTTCCTCCGCAACATCCGTTAACATCACATCTACGTGGCGCCACATCCCCAAAGACTGCTTTCTTCAGTATCAAGAATATTGAAATATTGTTCGTTGCTTTCATGTCTCCTTGTGATAACTACTTGAAGAACCATAAGCAGTATCTGCATAATGTCACAGATGTAGCATGTTCACACTGTTATTGCCTGCAGACAGCATAAATTGCATTTTGTTTCATTATCTTGAAACCCATACAGCATATGGGTAGTACTGTGCATGAAATGTGACATTCATTTTTATTTACAATTCTATTCTGATAAATATGAACAAGTTCCTTTCTTTTTTGTATGAGATACATGCAGAAATGCCTTTCAGTAATATCGCCAATCATTGTCAGATTTTAACTATAATTGAAATGTGTTGGCGCATTTTAGAAGACTCCCCAGTATCAAATTTAATGAAAATTCATTTTGAAGTTCTAGATTTGTTATGTGCTGACAGATGGATAGACAAACATGGCAAAGCTAATAAGGGCGGTACAGCAATTTTTTATTGCAGACATGCCAAAATGAACAAGTATTCTTTTTACCTGCATTATTTTTTAAATCTTCCCTACCACTCTACCTGCAAGGAAAGAGTTCCTAGTACCTGTTGTATAGGAGGCTGGGTGGGCCCAAGATTCAGTCTGGACATTTTGAAGAAGAGAGAAGTTTCTTGCCACTACCAGGAATTGCATCCCAACTCCTCAGTAATCCAATCTCTATCCTGGTTGTTGTACCAACTGAACTAGCGAGGCTCCAGTCTTAGTGACAATGAAACTACAGCCATTGCTATGCAACAGCATGGTAAACACACCTCTACAACAATAGAATTACTATTATAAACGATGTTATGCAACCCATTGCTAGGCAGCTTCAACAGTTGGTCTACAACAGTGGAAATGGGGGTGTTTTCTGTATGGTCTATGCCAAGGAGTTATCGTGAAGACAGTTGGGGTGACCCAGTCAGTTGAAAGTCAGCCTGTGAAGAGAAGACTTATTAGGTTGGCGTGAAATGGCTGCCAGCCTCACAGTTGTCAGTTGAGAATTGGGTTCTGCACAGAAGGCTTAGTGGGTACTTTGGTGATGTATAAAGTTGTGGAGACTAGCAGTAGTGCTGTAATTACTTGTGGTTCCAAATGATGTGTATAAGTGGTCAATAAATCCATTCACGAATCCGTACCCTGTCTGTAGTCACCGCTAAGTCGAAACAACTGGTGTCAGAAGTGATTGGATTGGATACTGCATTGGATTTTGATTGTTATAATGCAACACTACAGACATGGAGTGGGTAATGGAATTCCTGTTGGTCTTTGAGAAGAGATGGACTCACCACAAAAAAATGGACGCCAACCAAGAAATGCTAACCAGGATGATGGCCAAGATGGACACCCAGCTAAAGAAGATGAAGGCCTNGGCCAGGATGGAAGCCCATAATGAAAGGATGATGGCCAAGATGGACACCCAGCTAAAGAAGATGAAGGCCTGTCTAGGAAAGACAGATGCCACAGTAGAAACTTTTGGAGCTCTGAAGAAATGGCATGGAGTCCGGCATCTAGCCATAAGGTGCCGTGGTCAGCTGAAGAAAAGGACGCAGGGCATTGGTGATCCTAGGAAGAAGTCAGCCACAACCTGCATAGGGATGACCTGTCATGCCATTCTTGCACATCATAAGGGCATGGTCATCACGGACAATGCCAGGACAATATTGCAAGAGGAGCCCCTAAAGGATGGACGCCTGAGAGGAGACAGCGGATAAACCAGGAAAGTAGCAATGGCATAAGGAGCCAAGACGTTAAGGAACAACTAATTCTGAGGAAAGCGAGGACAACTGGAAGTGTCATTCAAAGAATGGAGAAGAAGACAACAGCTATGACTGGAAAGTGTGGGAAATGTTAAAGAGACCTTCAGGGAGACCCTGGGTCTGGAGATCACAAAGATAATAGCCAGGACTTCCATTAGACTGCAGTAAATGAGTGTCAGGACCATTGTGAATGGATTAACCCCCTCCTGAATGAAAGAAGAGACTACTAAAAACAGCTTAAGAGCCGTCGGTGTAGGAGCATTTACCATTCTCAGAGCTTCCCTCACTGATCGGAAAAGCAGGATGATGGTCACAAACCTGAACCAACTGTCACCCAATGAAGGAACCCTTCGGGACAAATGACTTTAAGGAGGAAGCGGCAGGAGCAGTTGGAGAGCACACACCATGATAACTGAGCCATGGGGAGGAAGGTGAGACCAATCACAGACATTGCAAATGCAGCCCTCGGAAAAGAAGAAATGGTGGTATGCCTGTAGGCTATTCAGGACAAATAGCCTTAAGGGGGAAGCAATGTGATATGTAGACATGTTGCTAGGCAGAGACATTGAAACTGAGACAACAGCCATTGCTATGCAACGGTGCTGTAAACACAGCTCTGTAGCAATAGACTTACTGTTGGAAATAGTGTTATGCTACTCAGCTGCAACAGTTGGACTGCAGCAATGAAAATGGTGTTTTCTATGTTGTTCATTCCAAGGAGTTTTTTGGAAGACAGTTGGGGTGACCCAGCCAGTTGAAGGTCAGCCTTTGAAGAGAAGACTAGGAGATTGATGTGAAATGACCACCATCCTGGCAGCGGTCATTGAGAATTGGGTTTTGCGTGAGAGGCTGTGAAGATAGAACCTGAACACATGAAGCTGAAGAATCTCCACTGTTAGAAGCTGCTGCTAGGGAACGGCTGGTGAAGACACAGCAGGCTGGAAAAAGGTTTAGCGGGTGCTTTGGTCATTTATAGTGTGGAGATTAGTGATAGTGCTGTAAGTACTTGTAGTTCTGAGTGGTGTGTATAAGTTATCAATAAATCCATTCACCAGGATTACAGAATGATTAACCCATTCATTTATTTATTCAGGATGCATTTAATGATATCAGGAGCCCTGACTGTATACCATTGAATGACATGATAATTTGTGAATGATGAATTTGCAACACTGTGGAAGGAAGTCAGTGTGGCCTAAATTCAGATACTGTTCAAGCATATACCTGGAGTGATTGTACACGCAGGCTTTATGAGTAGAGCCAGTGAGGTCACATGTCTGGTGCCACCATCGTGCTGCCTCCAACTCTGTGAACACATAAGAGAAGTTTCGTTTGGCCCATTTTCCTGTCAGATCAGTGTCTGAAGGTAATCTCCCCCCCCCCACACACACACACACACACAGATATGCACCCACCCACCCCTCTCTCATCACATGAAAAGAAAGTTTTTATTTGCTTGCTTGTTTTTTCCTTGTGACTCACACACTGTTGTCTCAGAGATGACAGTGTCTTCGAGGAATGTGAAGTTTTAACAGAACTGGATGTGACTGGAACCTGTTCTTTCCAGGCTGAGCATGGACCCTGTTAGGATCATTGATTATAAATAGTTCGTAGTGAGAAAGCAGAATGTAAGTTACTGTATTAAAAACTGAGAACGTCTCATTGTCATAAGTGATATAGGTGTAAGAGGCTAATTTAATGTCACAGTATTGTAACACGTGGCCATTTGGGCTGAAGGTTTGTTTTGTTTGTTTGTTTGGCCTGTGAGCCAGAAGAAGTTTAGAATTGTTGCTGTGAAGTAAAGCTATAGAATCATTATGTAAGTGTGAAATATCCACCGGTTTTTAAGATGCTAAACCAAAGGAAAATGATTTAGCTACTTTTTAGGTAAATATGGTGCTTGCAGTGATAATGTAAAATGAGGTCTTTTTATATTCCTTTTCCATTTATTCCCATAGATTAAATGATGTCCCTTGAAAGACTTAAAATGTACTATGTACTTTCAGGCTTTTAACTCTACTTCGATCAGCTCCACAACACAGTCGTCAGTGCCACATGCATTCCAGATATCTATGCCCCCTCAGGCACAGCTACCACATGCGTCAATTCTTGAGAAGGGCGCTGCTTCCCTTAGTCCAGTTCTTCCAATTTCTACAGGAATGTTATTGTCATCTGTGCCATCACCTGTTTATTCAGCGTTAGAAAAAAGTCCTGCTGGCAAGAATAATGTTGCAGGTATTATTTTTATTCCTTGACTCAGTTTTGTTAATGAATTTAAATTGAAAGAATGTTTTGATGCTGGAATTGCTAGACAGCATATGAACCTTTGAATAGGATGTTGTTCCTTGTTTACAGAACAAATGGAAGAGTTGAAAATCTTGGTCATGTCAGGGTGATTGTACTCAGTAATTTAGGGGAGCTGTAGCATGGATAATTAACAACTGTGGATAATCCAAATACTTCGTATCTAATGAACTCTGTTCAAGTTAAAAACTGTAATAGGATATAGAGCCCACAGGGTCAGTGGACAGTGAAACAGATGTTTTTCTATTGTGGTAATGGGATCTGGGGGGAAGGGGGGTTAGAAAACGGTAAAATAGTAAAGTGAAAGTTGCAGCATAGTCCACAAGAAATCACAGATCATCAGTTATACATGTTACTGAAAAAGATGTAATGAGCATTGAAATCGGTATACGTGGTGTGTTCAAAAAGTATCAAACCTTCTTTTTTCCCGCGTAAACCAATGAAGCGTGGTAGGCTCCCTTCGGTGGAGATGTGGAGGGGACATTCATGCGCAGTCGTGACTTTTTTCCCGCCCGCAGAAAGTGTCAGTCGCTGGCAGTCAACCTATGAGTGAGGACGTGTAGTGAGCGCTTGTCGGATTCCAGTAAGGTGTAAAATGATGGAACAACATGAGCAGCAATATTGCATCAAATTTTGCCAAAAGCTTGGCGATACCCAAGTGGAAACCATTCACAAGATTCAACAGGCTTTCAGGAACGATGGCATGAGCAACTCATGGATGAAGGAGTGGTACAGCCGCTTCAAAGATGGCCACACATCAGTGGACAGTGAACCGCGTTCAGGTAGACCCTCAACAAGCTGAAATGAGAATGTCATTGAGCAAGTGCGGACTTTGGTCATGGAGGACCGTCGTATCACAGTCCGAGAAGTTGCGAACGAGATAGGGGTAAGCATTGGATCAGTACATTCAATTTTGACCAAGGATTTTGGCATGAGGAGAGTGTCTGCGAAATTCGTACTGAAACTGCTAACAATGGAGCAGAAGCAACGCCGTCTGGAAATCGCACAGGACATGCTGGACAATGCAAACAGTAACCCCAACTTTCTGAACACCGTGATCACAGGCGATGAGTCGTGGATTTATGGGTACAACCTGGAAACCAAGTTGCAGTTGTCACAGTGGAAACATCCGACATCCCCAAGGTCAGTAAAACACTGCAGGTCCACAGCAATGTCAGGGTCATGATGGCCATTTTCTTTGACTCCCGTGGGGTTGTGCATCATGAGTACGCACCACAAGGCCAAACCATCAGAAAGGAATACTACCAGGAGGGCCTTCGTTGCCTTCGTGATGCTGTGCGGCGCAAACGACCGGATCTGTGGGCAGCAAAACTTGGCAGCTCCATCATGATAATGCACCCGCCCATTCTGCGCATCTGTTTCATACTTTCATCGCCAAACACAACATCCCTGTGGTTCGTCAGGCTCCCTACTCCCCCAACATTGCTCCGTGTGACTTTTGGCTATTTCCCAAGCTGAAAATGCTGCTGAAAGGAACCCGATTTCAGTCGAGAGAAGACATCATGTGGAATCCAATGGCCCGGCTGATCACTATTCCAAAAGACGTGTTCCAGAAGTGTTCCCAACAATGGCGGAAGCGCTGGGAGAAGTGTGTGTAATACCAGGGAGACTACTTTGAAGGGGATTAGGGTTTTGTACCTCCAAATCAATAAATGTATTTCTGCCGACCAAAAGTTCAATACTTTTTGAACACACCACGTATACATCTTAATCAGTAACTAAGGGGTTCTAAAAGGTCTGTGTTTAATCTACAAAACATAATCTGTATGTGAATAATATTGTCTGCTGTATATGTATTCTTCAATCCAAAGAACAATGAATGTCATATATTTAAAATTTATTTTGTTCCACAGGGGTAGTTACCCTCTTGACAGCCTTGATGTCCCCGAGTGTCATTCTTACCCATAATGCAAATAATGTAACATGTAGTACCGTTGCTAAACGGCTGTCGCAAGAAGGAACATGCATTGCTTGGTAACGGCTGCTGAACACGTCAAACATAACTGAGCTGTTACTAGACAGTCATAACAACAATAGGGGGATTGTTGGAGGTAGTGTTTTCTATTTGGTTCGCCCTGAGGCTGTATAGGAGGACCCAAGGCTGGCTGAGTATGGTTAAATTGAGTGAAATGAAGTGAAGTGGTTGGTTGAAGAGTGATTGAGTTCATTTAAGGAGTGGCAGTTGAGAGGAGCTCTGCAAGGGAGGCTAAGAAGAGATGGCACTGTAATTGAGTTGACAGTTGATAGGAGTTCAGTTGTGGAGTGTTAACCAGTGGGCAGCACCGTGCCCGTGGAAGCTGAAGAATCTCCATTGTTAAGAGTCGTTACCAGGAAACATCTAACGAAAACATGGCAAAGGAATAGTCATTGTTGTGAGCTGTTAGTAAGCAATGACCAGTGAAAGCAGACTGGATTTGTAGTGTGGAAATCAGCAATAGTGTTAGTGTTATTTGTAGTTATGACCCATAAGTGGTCAGTAATTCTGTTCACCCAGCCATACTTCATCTGTAGTCACACATACACATGAGACAATAAGAAACCTTATCAAATTCATTTATACTGTGAGGTAAAGTTGTGACTCTGTGCTTAATTAATTAAGCACTTCCATGAAGACATGAGGGATTGGAGGTATAGCTTCATCATTCTTAAGTTCAGGACTAGATATTTTATACTGTTTAAACATAATGTGTAAATTCTTTTCAAAATGTACATTTGGGGTTTTAGATTGTCCAGTATGGCCTAAACTTCCTTTGATATCACACCTGTATGGGTCAAGTAATGGATTAGACTGAATTTTGTTAATGAAAAGAAGTCAGTATTAATTTGCCTAGTGCAGAATGACAAGTGGCATTTCACTTTAACCTGAATTGCAATTACAGATTATGAATCTTTTAATTTTAAAACTTGGTTGAAACGGTAAGCAGACATATAGTTGGAGCTGAGTCAGTCGATTGAATTTTGGCTAACTTTCCATCTTCTCCCCCTCAATATTTTAGGAGCTGGTCATGTGGCCGATGTGCGCAGAGTGTCCACAGGTTCTGCAATAGGAGTAGAAGACGGAGAGGAAGGTTATGATGCAGAACATGATCCATGTCCTGATTTCCAGCCTGTAATTCCACTACCAGCAGAAGTGGAACTGACTACTGGAGAAGAAGAAGAAACAGTTCTATTTGAAAGCAGGGCAAAGCTCTTCAGGTAAGGGGTCATGTTCCATCTTAGAACTGCAGTCGTTGCAGATACACAGATGTACATGCACACATGGAGATACTGACAGTGCCATCAATGTAATTAAGATCTAAAAGTTTTTGACAATGGTATATTGCTATAAGTATTATGTTTTTGGACATTATCCATTGTCTTGTCTATTTTCTAAAAACCTTCCTGTTTCTTTTTAAAAACACAGCGTTTCGGAGACTGGATTCTGTCCATGTCCTCAGGTAAAACCTCCAGTCTGGAGATATGAGCTAGGTTTCACCTGAGTGCGGGGACAGAATCCAGTCTCTGAAACGTATTTTTAAAAAGAAACAGGCTGGTTTTTATTAAATAGACAAGACGATTGTTAATGTCCAAGGACATAATACTTGCATCAGTGTAACTGTTTAACATTATGCATGTTTTATTTTCCACTGCATATTGCACCTGTGATTACTGGGTCATCTTCAGGTGGCACAATACTTAAAAATATCAGTTCATAAAAATGTCTTGCTTACATTCTGTTGTATTTGGGCCTTTGTTCTGTTTTCACATTCAGATGTGTGGCCAGTTTGTCTGGGTATTTGTTAGTTAGTAAAATATAATATACAGTATTGTCGCATGTTGGGTATGTCACACGACAAGTAACTTCACGCCTTATTTGATATAGCGAATTTATTGAACACTCGCTCTTACAATCACACAATTTACAATCTCACAATTACTGCCATCAGCAGTATCACAAATACTTCTCCTGTAGTCACTGCCATTCAAGTCACTCCGGCGAATGCTGGACCGCAATTGACTGGTTAATCGTTACTCACTAGTAACTCACTCACTCGTAACTGGCTCAATACTCACTCATTGAATAGTGTTCAGTGCTCCTTATTTAGCCTCGGCACGGACAACACAGAAAACAGTGACGCGATAGGTACTGCTGTTACGTGACGCCGTGTTTACAGGTTGCCTAGCAACACTACCAAGAGTTGTTTACTGCTGTGTAGTAACCGCAGTATCCCTTGTTATGTCACCACGGCAATGGTTGCTTCACACAGTTGCTCTTCCGTTATGTCACTATGGGAGAGGGGGTGATTACTGAGCGTTGCATACTGATGGAAGGAGAGGGGGTATGTGACATCACTCAGGAGACCGCAGAGTTCACGTGACCCCTACTTCCCGTTGCGCCATCCACGTCACAGTATATAAAAATATACAGACAATAAAACTTAATTAAATAGAATATAAAGTTGTAGATATATTCATAATAGATATGTGGAAGAATGGCTTTCTCAGTTCAACACAAGAATTTAGAAATATTTTGAAAATGTTCTCTAGTAGACCAATTTTTTCGCTATAATAATATATATAACACTGTCACCTTTTCAGAGTGCACAAAAATTTACAGCCAGATTTACCTGAATGGATGATGATTCTTAATGCATGATGACACTTCACTAGGAAATGTCTGCCCAGAAAAAGTAATTTTGCAAATTGATGTAATCTTACACTAAACATGTGAAGAAAATAAATATTAGAAAACAGTTTTATGTGAAATTTATTGATTTCCTTCTTCAAGTCATTAGCATTTATTCAGCTTCTCTCATCTATCTCAGCTTCACGGTCTTCACAGTTCCCATCTTGTCTCAGCCACTGCTTGAACTCTCATATTCACTGCCAACATTCTCATATTCTCAGCTTCTTCCTTATTGTCCCGTGCATCCATTTCATCAGATGAACAGCAGTTCGTAAATCCTCTCCTCAACACATTTGGAGAGAACAGTGCTGTGGTCTAAATTCACTGGGACAGTGAATTTACACTGAGCTTCTTTATTGTCCCTGGGGTGTCAGGACATCATCCCCTAACATGGCCCATTTGAAACACTGTTGTTTGAAATGATCATTAAAAGGTTTATTCACTGGAATGTATAGTTATGAAGTCATCTTTCCACGTATGGCCACGATGTCAGTATTCATTCCCTGAATTAGACATCCAGTGTTCAGTGACCTTCAGCTGCATCAAAGCATTCCCTCTTTTCTCAATATTACATGTGGTCCCCAGATCAAGACAAGTTGTCACCAGTCCCACATCATTTAATTTAGTCATCCATCCCTTAGGGAGGTGCACAGTTATTAGCTACATAGGCAGCTGCACCTTAAACACAGTTCTTTCTGTTTACTGTTGTACATGGCAGTTTCATGCCGTCTGCCAACTCTGTCAGTATTAGTCACCTGCATCTTTTCATTGCCTGGCACTTTTCTGACAACAGAATTTTCATCATGATGATCAGTGGTGTAACCCAGTGGCGTTTCAAAATACACTCACATTCATCGACAGTGCATTGAAGTGTGGTGGTAACTTCTTACAAAGTGAAGACCTTTGTTATAAAGAAAACCTGTTCTCCGCATCAATTATACACATTTCTCTGAGCTGGACTTAAAATTTCAGCCTCTCACTGGCTAATGATACTGGATGAGACTGATATTCCATTCTGTCTCTGAATCCATAGAAATAACATTTCTCACATAAAATTAGCAAATTCCTGTTTCTCTTGTTCCCACTTTGGGAAATTTGCCTCAGGAAAAGCTGTATTTTTGTGCCTGTTCATACTTTTATTCCGTATTTTATCACCATTCTTAGAGTATGGACCATAAATACACTGCCTGATAATTTTTGACACATAGTCTTTTTCTCAACGTGTCTACCATTTCTTCATTGACTGATGTGTGTTAGAACAATCTCGTGGTGTCATAAATCAGTAAATTGCTGCTTTTACTTCATAAGTGTGATGGTACTTCAGGCAACCTCATGTCATCTGACCCTGAAATGCATCTGTCTCAGTTTCTTGCTTGCAACTCACACAGTACAATGATGGTAAATGTAATCTGTGGTATGATCATGTCAAGCACTTTAAAACATTAAAACACATTACAAACATCTTTGATACACACATGCACAAATGCACAGGTGTGTAACTCTAAGGGGGAGGAGCACGTCTTCCATCTGGGAAAATATGATACTGATCTCTTTCAACATGACCCTGACATACAAAGCAGAAGCAGGTAGCAGAGAGTTCAAGAAGTTAAAGAATTAAAAATCAGTGTTCAGACTGATATTGAGGATGTTCTTGATTTGATCCCTAAAACTGGAGACTCACACTTGCCTAATATGTGGCTGTGATATTTACTCACGATTGACCACGCTGTGTCTGTTACCGTTGTGTCCATTGTCTGCTTGTTAAAGTTCTCAGTTATTCTGTGGTTGTAGTAAAGCATATACGTGTAAAATTACAGAGGTTTTTGTGAGTTTCATTTCTGTTGCTAAATTATTATTATAATTTTTATTGGAAGGGGTGGGTTTCTGCATGCACTGCAACCAGTGGTCTATTGTACACCCCCCTGTGATATTCTACCAGTCTCTATACCCTACCGGTATTGGTGCGTGCCATCAGTCCCGACTGAGCCAGTGAGTTCGGCCTCTACTGGCTCAGCGGTATCTAGATACTTCCCGCATCTACCAGAGGCGTTAGAGACTATTGTTGGGCGGGAAATGTCCTTACAAATTTGGCTCAGTGGTCTCCTTGAGACATGAGGTTCTTTTACATCCCGTAAAGCTACGACACAGGACCCACGGCTTAAAGTCCCTCCCGGAGGACTTGTTCCCTGAATTTTTCCGCCCTTAAAAATTCCACGACCTCCACCGGGTTTGAACCCGCGTACCTTGAGTCATGAGGCGGGAACGTTACCCCTAGACTACGGAGGCCAATTTCTGTTGCTAAATACTTCATGAGTTTTTAATTGACCTTTATTATTCGCAAAATGGGGATTTTAAATCCCATAATATTACAGGCCAGTGGTCAGATTTTTGTTCATGAGTAATTTTATTATTATTGTAAAAGTGCAATACTTCACTTGCTGAAACATGTTTATAGGGGGGTATGATAAAATAGCTTTTTTGCCACAGACGGTATTTGCTTTCAAGTTTTAGTTTGGGACATGCTGAAATTGTGCTCCAGGAATTAAGTTTTGTATTATTTTAATTGACAGCATAGTTAATTTGAATTTTGTAACAGGAGATTTGCCAGGTATTTACATAAAGCTGTGGGTAGGGAATGAAAGGTAATTTTTAAATTTGGAAATATTGTCTGCTACATTAATTTTATTTTGCCAATAGGTATGTGGATAAAGAATGGAAGGAACGTGGTGTGGGCACCATGAAACTTCTGCATAACCAAATGACAGGGAAAGTACGTGTATTGATGAGGCGTGAACAAGTACTGAAGATATGTGCAAATCATAATCTTAGATCTGACATGGAGTTGACTCAAATGAATAACCGTGCCTGGATGTGGGTGGCCCTTGATTTTGCTGATGAGGAGGTTCGCCTTGAAAAGCTTTGTGTGAGATTCAAGACATCTGATGAAGCTGCCAATTTCAAAGATGCTTTTGACAAGGCCAAATTAATTGTTGCAGCTACTGAGACCTCTGCAGTCAAGGCTGTAGCATCCGTTCCTTCTGTTTCTACATCAGCTGTCACTCAAGAGCCCTCCAAAATTGCAACCAAAGTTGTTACTTCTGCAATTACATCCCCAGTTCCAGTTACATCATGTAATAAAATAACTGTAGGTGGGTTTACATTTGCATCTCCGCCTACTTTTAAAATAGATTCAAAATCTGCAGCGGCACAGACATTGAAAGATACTACTAAAGACAAAGAGAAGGGTTCTGGAGAGGGAGCTAAACCAAGCCCATTTGCTGGTTTTAGCTTTACCAGTCCGTCTAAAGTGTCTACATCATTGGAGTCTCCTGTCATTACAGGCAATGTGCAAGTGTCTGAACCCACATCATTACACAGACCCCGCACTATTGTACCAAAATCTGTTGGTGTTACATCTACATCAGATAAAGTTCAGATTATGCCAGAATCAGGTACTCCGACATCTGGCTCAAAATTAATGTTTGACTCACCTCATACTGATTTCACATTCTCAGCCCTAGCAGCTGTTATTAAGGAGCCAGGTTTTAAGAAAGATGACAGTTTTAAGGGTTGGGAAGGAGCAGGAAAACCTGTGTTTGGGGGATCCCTGAAGTCTGAAGGTGTTGTTGAAAATGAGGGTAGCGCAGAAGAGTTTGTGCCAACAGCAGAATTTGAACCTGTAATTCCACTACCAGAACTTGTGGAGCTGAAGACAGGAGAGGAAGGAGAAAACATACTATTTGAAGAGAGAGCAAAATTGCTTCGTTTTGACAGTGAAGGAAAACAGTGGAAGGAGCGTGGTATTGGAAAGCTGAAGATAATGCAAATTCCTACCACTGGTAAAGTTCGGTTACTTATGCGGCGAGAACAGGTTTTAAAAGTATGTTGCAACCATTTTGTGACTGCAGATATGAAGTTTACTGCCCTATCATCTTCTGACCGGGCCTGGACTTGGTGTGCCCAAGATTATTCTGAAGGAGAAATGAAACCAGAACTCCTAGCTGTTAGGTTCAAGACTGTTGAGCAGGCACTTCTTTTTAAGAAAACCCTTGATGAAGTTCAAGTGAAAATGAGTGATGAAGGTAAAGATACAAATGAGCCAACAGCTCACAGTATGGTTTGGAAATGTAAAGAATGTCTTTTTCCCAATGCTTCTGTTGCAAATCATTGTACTTCATGTAAAAGGCCAAAACCAAGAGAATTCAAGGAGAACCCTTTGCTTGTCTCTCACAGCAGTAACCAGCAGCTAAAGCTTTTTGAGCTTTCTAAGTCACCTGAATCCTGGGAATGTCAGTCATGTTGCCTTATAAATGATATGGACAGTGAAACCTGCATAGGGTGCAAAAAGCCAAATAGTTCAAAAGCAGCCGATGTCTCAAGTGCCTTGCAATCAGAACCTCTGTCTGAGATCTTCAAGGCCAAGCCAGGTTCATGGGAGTGTGAGGCTTGCTACATTCGAAATCAAAGTACAGCAGATTTGTGTATGGCTTGTGAAACCCCCAAACCAGGAAGTAATGTGACTTGTGAAACTGCATCATCTTTTAGTTCTAGCATTCTTCCAAGATCAGACCAAAATGTACCTCTTTCAGAACTGTTTAAGCCCAAAGCTGGTTGTTGGGAGTGCAGCCAGTGCTATACATATACTGATGCTGATAAGACATCTTGCTTATGTTGTGGTGGTCCAAAACCAGGTCATGATGTAACACAGAGAGAAATGCCTGGTAATGCCACAAACCAGGCTTCTTTTAAGTTTGGAATGCCCTCTTCTGGAACTGAATTTAATTTTTCAACTTCATCCCAAATCACCAGTGGCCAAAGTGATTTTACATTTGGCATTGCACCAGGACACACATCTGAACCAGTTAATAATAACTTTGGAATGCCCATTTCAAATATATCTACGTCAACAGCAACAACCACCACCATTACTCATGCTTTGTTTACAAGTTCCAATGCCTGCATTCCAAAAGGTGGATTTTCGTTTGGTCTCCCCTCTACCACTACCACTGCTTCATCTGTTACATGCATTTTTGGTGTAGACAGCACATCAACAAATAAACCATTCTCATTTGAGCCAAAAGCTAATACTGGAGCTTTCCTGTTTGGAAGTTCAGCAGGATGTGGTACTGAAAGGAACACCAGTTCCTTGACTTTCAGTTTTGGTAGTAACATACAGGCAGAAGGCAACAGGGATTCTACACCACCCAAGGATACAGCAGGTGAGATGTCATTATTTGGTATAAGTGAATTTGGATATGAGATTGAACCTTTGCTCTGAATCAGAATCTGTAACATATTTCTTAACTAAAGTTAAATTTTTTTGTCCATGGTGTAGCGTATATGTTAACACTTTGCAGACCGTACACATGATATGATTTTAGGACACATTAGGTTGTAACACACTGTACCTTGCTCTGGCGCTACACAACTGCAATGAATACTGCGTAATCTTCGGAATGTATGCTAGGTATTCCATAACTTGACCTGGCTGGCTAGGGTCCTTACTCCAAAAGAAAATAAACTTTGCCCCTTCCACCTTTTTATGTACCAGGCAGGAAGTTAGTAGAGGGGAATATGTTTCAAGGACAGAAGCGGTTGAAGGCAAAGCAATCTCTCTGACTTGTTCTCCGATGAGCTATCTGACGTGCCTTATGGAGGAGTAGTGATTAGTGACTCAGACAGTGGAAGTGACAGGGGTCAACAAAGAATTGTGGCCACAGATAATAAAAGTGAAAGTTGCCTTGTGGCTTATAAATTGTGCCATTTTCAATTCATTTTTGGTTTACAAAAATCTAAACCCTGATTCGAAATTGAAATACAAAGCATTCCTGATGAATGTGGCAAAGGCCTGGGCTACAGACCAGATGGTGGCGGCAGAACAAGAGTCAGACAGACTTAGTGCGACCTACCCCATCAACTCCCACCTCACGCAGGCCTCATGTGGACACCCCTGGGCGACTCTTGCCTGATATGCGGAAGCATACAGGGTTTGTCCAAAAAGTAATATTAGTGAGTCGATTAAAAACATTTATTGATTAGATCGGTACAACACATTAAAAGGCTTCAAAATAGGCTCCTCCTGCATCGATACATCGCTTGCATCAAGATTTCCAGGCATCGAAGGCGTCATGGTAGGCCTCCTCCAGAATGTTCTTTAGAGCCTTGGTGCAAGCCTCTTTGACTTCGTCAACTGTCCCAAAATGATGTCCTTTCATGGGAGTTTTCAAGCGCGGAAACAAAAAGAAGTCTGGGGGAGTCATGTCAGGACTGTAGGGTGGCTGGGGAACCGTTGGCACCTTTGAATCGGTCAGGAAGCGGGTCACGAGGAAGGCGGTGTGGGCTGGTGTATTGTCAGGATGAAGTTTCCAGTTGTCCGCAATGTCGGGCCGGATGCAATAAACCCTTCGTTTGGGTCTCTTTAACACTTCCACGTAGAATTTGGCGTTGATGGTTGTACCATATAGTACCAACTCATGGTGGATGTCAAAGAACACAGTGAGCATGACCTTAACATTTTACTTGCTCATTCTGGCCTTCTTGGGGCAAGGGGATGCCGAGGTGTGCCACTCGGCACTTTGCCTTTTTGTTTCGTGGTCGTACTCAAACACCCAAGTCTCATCGCCTGTGATGACATTGTCTAAAAAGTGAAGGTCACTTTCATGTAAGTCCAAAAGTTCTTGGCACATTTCAACTCTGCGCGATTTTTGGTCATCCGTTAACACTTTGGGCACCAGCTTTGCACACACTTTTTGCATCTGCAAATTGTTCGTCACGATCTCGTGAACGGTACTTTTTGGAATGTTTAATGTCTGTGCCATTAAACGAACACTCAAACGATGGTCTGAGTTCAAAAGTTCTCTCACACACATCACATTTTCGTCGGTGGTGCTTGTTGATGGCCGTCCAGCGCGGGCTTCATCGCCGAACTCTTCACGGCCTTCTAAAAAGGCCTTGTGCCACCGGTAGACCTGACGTTCCGACAAACAATCATCACCAAAGGCCATCTTTATCATGGGAAAAGTTTCCACTGCAGACTTGCCAAGTTTCACACAAAACTTGATGGCAATCCTTTGTTCCAAGGAGTGCTGCATTGCGGCTTGCACGAGAGACAAAAACGAGTTTCACGGAAAAGCCTTTCGTCACTCTCAGGAAGTTCGGAGATGACTAAGTGACCGCGCGTTCATAAGCTGACTTGCCCCTCCACCGATCCCAACCGGTTTGAGCGCGCTGCGACATATAGTTACTTCACAATAAAATCACTGACATTACTTTTCGGAAAATTGTGAAGAGTGAACATTCCAAGGGGAAGCATCCTTCTAGGCAATGCCGTGTTTGCACAGTTCACAAAAAAAGGAGTATGTCTGTCTACATTGCAAGTTCTGTGTAATGCCGCTTCACAAAGGGGAATGTTTCCAGAAATATCACACTCTCAAGCACTTCTAGGAGCATTGGTAAGTGTTCTCCAAAAATTTTAGTTCATAAAATTAATTAGGAGATTTTATATAAATTTTTAAAGTGAACAGTGCACAAGTTAGGGTAGTAGGTATAAAAATACCGGTCCCCAGGGTGATTTAAATATTTAAATTGCCGGTCCGCAAAGTGTTAAAACAATTCCTTTGGGCTTTGGCCATTGTCAGAGTTTCTTTGAAACCTTGTTGGGCCTTACGATAGTGGTGCTGTTAAACTGTGCCCATTGTTTGAGGGTAGCTGTACCAAGGGACCTAACAGAGTAGGTTTTCTCACTTGAAGACTGAAATCAATTTCCAAAATATAGTGGTTTTAAGAAAATTCTGACATTTTGCAAAGCACAGAATAATAATTTTAAGCGACATATTTCTTTTGTATGTTCAAAAAACTGATATGTCCCACATTTCAGAAAAGTAAAAAATTTCGTGATCAGGCTTGCAGTAGCTGCTGTCTTACACTGTTTCTGGTTACCATAGCAACAAACTATCAAGCATTAACACCTGTTTTCCTGCTTTGTATAAAAGTGTATACAGTCAACTCTCGATTATCAGGGATAATGGTGGGCATGGAAATCACGATTAATCGAAAATGCGGTTAAGACAAATGTTATTAAAAGTAGTACTGTAATACTGTACCTTCATAATACTATAGGCCTACCTGTATTTAAATTTACTCAACCTCATTTTTATGTCATCTCATGGCCTATTTAATACTTTTTTTACATTATACTGAAGTGTGAATTAGTTATTTCAATCACAGTGTTCAACAACATCCAACACTTTTTACAAATATTCACACTTAACACTTCCTTTTTACGGATATCCATACGAAGCATACGTAATATGAGCTTGTCACTTAATAAACTGTTCTCTTCACTCTCAAGATAGTCTAGTAAGGATTCCAAATGATTAAGAGCAGCACCATGTGATATTTTCTTACTAGCAGCACTCTCCACCTCTTCCTCATTCTCACTTTCTTTCCACTCTTCTGGCTGTACCCCCACTGAACTTATGGTTTCATCACTGATTAACATTTCGAAGCCCGGCTCACATGAGTTTCTGTTGAATACTTAACACGCTTCCTTTTACACCCTGACATTTTGCTAACGCACTTGAAGATCGATACAAAGAGACCAACTGGGGCGGTGTATCTGTCCTTGAAACTTTCCACAAATCCTTGCCTTCTTTCACCCCTACCCAGAACATTGTGTTAGCATAACAGGACCAAAGAATGCAGAGCTCAGTTCACACTAGTGCAAAAATAGTGTCACAACTCACCATGTGAAACAAAAGTGAATGAATATTAAACAACATATAAGCCTCAAAAAAGCCTCAGTAGCCCTGGTTAATCCGCCCCCAGATAATCGAGAGTTGACTGTAGTAGGTCACTAACAGTCTAGTGATAATTTTTATGTAATGTTTTCTGTCAAGCATTAACACCTGTTTACCTTCTTTGTATAAAAGTATATAGTAGGTCACAAACAAGCTAATGATATTTTTTGTATGTATTGTATGTATTTTGTTGATAATGTTTTAATTGTGGATGGGTGCGTTTAGCTACTATTTTTTATGGAATGTGAACTAAAGGGGAATGATGGAAACACCTAAGAAATTGAGGAATAGAATTTGTATTGGTTACATTGAAAGAACTTCAGTTGGGCAAAATTGAATGCTTGTCTTCCATTTGTTTACACTCTGTAGTGCTCATGTCAGTGCATTAGTGAGTTTGTTGAGTGACAGTCTGTATGAAAGAATTGGAAAATGGGAGACTTGTCCAATTTTGAAAGAGGACAGATCATTGGTGGGTGTTTAGCTAGAACATCTGTGACAGAAACTGCCACGTTGTTACATATATCAAAAGCAACAGTTTGTAAGGTTATGTTGTCGTACATGAATCGTGGGAAGACAACACCAGTGAAGAGAAACAGTGGGCAAAAATCCATATTGACAGAAAGAGATCATTGTGCTATCGGAAAGTTCCCGGACTAGGTAAAAAAAGAAATGCTGGCTTAACTTAACTGTGGCTGCTGTCTGCTTGAAAATAGTCTTCTTGGGAATGTATATACCAATCCCATCGTTTCTTCCACACTTCAAAACCACTATGGAAGTTATTTTTCGTAATGCTGTCGAGTACTGCTTGCAATTCCCTTTGGATGTCAGACACTGTTTCCAAATATTGTTCCTTGAATTTCATTTTCAATTTGGAAAACAAAACAAAATCACAGGGGGCTAAGTCTGATGAGTAGGAACGATAACCATGTTGTTGTTAGTCACAAACTCTGTGTGTTTTCAAGGACATGTGGCTGGGCACATCATCATGATGAAGGAGCCAGTTGTGGTTGCGCCAAAGTTCTAGTTTCATTTCGTCACACATTTTCTCTCGAGCATTTTCAGAACATCACTTACTTACTTACTCATGGAGCTGAGCCCTTCTGGAGGAGCCGCCAATTCTGCAGCTACTCAAGAATTTCCCAGCATTTTATGGAACCCAAAGGTTCCATTAATAGTAATAAATGATTTTAAGTGTTACAGAAACTAATTTGGAGATAGATTTGTACCCCTTTCTGTTTGAATTACATGATCATCAATATTCTAGGTCATAAATTCACTTTTGGGAGTCCTGGAAAGTTTGAATTCAGCTTCAGTGGAGTTAGACCTAAATCACCTACCAAGCAGCCAAAATCTCCTGGTAGTGTTGGTGCTAATGTTAGTGGAGCTGCTGCTGATGATGACAGTGACGGTGAACTTGAAGAAGATGAAGGAGAACATATCTGTTTTCAGGTGTGTTTCAGTGTCCATTCCCTGAACTTTAAAATTTTAATACTCTAAATCAACGAGATACACGTAAACCGCCATGTCTGCTACTGATCAAGGGTTAGCTCAGTTTGAATCGGTTCAAACCATTATTAAGATTATTTTTTCTTTCCTCCCCCGTATCTTCATTTGCCGCAAGTGTCTTCATATAGGATATTTTTATATCTAGATCTCTTATATTTAATGCTCATGATTTTTCTCACATCTCATTCTGTGGTACATAAAACATCAGAAATTGTACAGTATTATTAACTTACTGATCGGTAAATATTGAGAGTAGGGTTACTGAATTGTATTGCAGCCTGTAATCCCACTGCCAGATAAGGTACCTCTGCATACTGGGGAAGAGGATGAAGATATCTTGTACTGTCATCGAGCCAAATTGTTCCGTTTTACTGGAGGAGAATGGAAGGAGCGTGGTGTTGGAGACATAAAATTGTTAAAGCACAGAAGTACTCATAAAGTCAGGTGAGGGCGTGCTTTTAAACAAAAAAAAATTTTTTTTGCCTTCCCCCAGAACAAAGGAGCACATTTTAACAAAACAATATTTATTTGAACCCCAATAGATAGTGTTTTCTTGCATTATGTAATAAGCAATCTTTTAACTTCATGAAGATTTTTAAGGCACCAACTGCCATTGCAGCTACACTTATTTAAATGGCAGCATGTCCCTGCTTTTGCAGTGTTAATGCAGAAAATATCCTTATTTAAATTATCCCTTTGTGTGTGTGTGTGTGTGAGAGAGAGAGAGAGAGCGCGCGTGCGTGCATTAACTTAAGGGTTGCCAAGCCTGAATTATTCTGTCATGTTGAAGTCAGGAGTGTTAATAATTATGATGGGGATACCAAGTGGCAGTGGGAAGTGCTTATGTTTCAGTTGTCATTGCAGTGGTGACCATTGTTGGAAAGAAATTTTCGTTATTGATAGCATGGATAGTCAGTGAAATCATGTTTTAGTGCATGACATTGTACCAGTGGACTGGTTATATGTGGGAATTGTAGTTATAGATGGGAATTACTGATTTCAAAGATTGTTCTTTTGGAATAATGTATACTTATTATGTCAAAGTATGCCTGTCAGTTGGAATTCATAAATTGTCTGTCACTGTTTTTGTTGGAACTAGAAATGGCCATTATGATGCTCTACAGCCAGTTGAAGCAAAAGGGAGGATAGTTATTTCAGATGAAGTTTATTGTTATAGGCAGCCTATGCTGAAAACATTTCTTTCAGGTAGAAGGGTTGCTTAGTACATATTGTGGCATACTTGCTCAAGGCAAGAATTGTGAAACCAGAAAAGAGAGTCATTACTGAGTCATGGCTTCACAAACAAGCATGTTTCCTTGGCAGGGGGACCACTTGGGAACCCAGAGGAAAGGGAAGCTGCTACCAAGCAATGACTAGTGAAGAAGTGACTATGGACACTAGTGTGTGTGCTCACGCACCTATGGTTGTGTTCATGTGACAGTGGAATGTAAAGTCTAGTCACGCACTCTGTCGAAGAGTCCAATAAATCCAACCATCAATCTAAAACCTGCCTGTGGTCACTCGTACACATGGCAACTGGTGTGGGATTGGATTGGGTAGGACTGATTCAATGAAACTGAGGTGGATGCCTAGCTAGAAGAAATGAATTCCTTGTGAAAAGACATGAAGGCTCTGCGAGAAATTATGGATGCCAATCTGTGGAAAATGAAGGCTGAAATAAAAGCCAACAACAAGAAGTTTGAGGCCCTTGGCCATGCAAGAAAAGACATGAACCAGCCTGGAAGAAGAAACTAAGGCCAGCAAAAAAGAAATGAGGGCCTGATGAAAAGGAATGAAGGCCTGCCAGGAGGCCAGGGTGGAGGCCTGTCTAGAAAAGATGGAGGCCACAGATTTGGAGGCAAATCCAGAAGAAGTAAGGGGTCCAAGTCAGAGCATCAGGAAGTCCCTAAGGAAGCAGGCATGATAGAACATACCAGAGCACTGGAGGACTAATATGGGGACTGGCATGTAACTGAAGGGCACTGCTGACAGCCAAAGAAATGGTCCCAGCAGAAGTTCGACACCACCTGCGAATGGTTGACCCACTGTGCTGTTCCTGCACAGCATAAAGAACGTCGCAAAGGACCAACGGTCAGACCACGGACTATGTTGTACAAGGAGTCGTTGAAGGATGAACGTTTGAGGAGAGGTGACGGACACAGCTGAAATTCAACAATGGCATAAGGGGCTGAGGCCTGAAACAGCAGCAACAACTGGGAAGCAGGGGAAATTTTAATGAGACCTTCAGGTAGGCTCTCATGCTGGAGATTGTGAAGGGAACTGTTGGGTCTTCCATCTGGATTCAAAAAATGAGTGTCAGGAGATAATGGAGCAATCAGCCCCCATCCAAACGGAAGAAGAGACTACTAACAACTTAAGAGCCGGGAACGTCAGCAGTTCTCGGAAGTTTTGCCCACACCATCGGGAAAGAAGATGGTGGTACACCTGAACCAGTTCACATTGTATCAGGAAACCACTTGGGACAAGCAGCCTTATGGAGGGTGCAGCGGGAGCAGTTTGTGAGTAATCACCATGAGAACCGAGCCAGGAGGAAGGAATGTGAGACAGATCACAGATGTCACAAGCACAGCCCCCAGGAAAGAAGAAATAGTGGTACGCCTGTAGGCTGTTTGGGCCAAATTGCCATAAGAAGGGAGCAGTGTGGCATACTCACTCAAGGCAAGAACTGTGAAGCAAGCAGAGACAGCCGTTACCGAGAAATTACTTCACAAACAAGCATGTTTCCATGGCAACATTTGGATACAACAATAATGGGAAACAATGTTTTCTATGCTCTCCATGCAAAGATGTTATAAGCAGGAGAGTTAGTGTTAGTTGAGTGGAGTGGTTTAGTCAGATAGCTGCTGGGTCTCAGTTATTATGAGCTGTTCCTGTGAGAAGCTGGTAGCTGAGGCTGGAAAAACCCAGAGGAAGGGGTGTTGAGGATCGCGGACTCCGTGCGACGCTGTAACACATGTCAGTGGTGATGTAACAGCAGAGCAGCTGTGTTAGGCAACCATTGCCACAGTGATTAACAGCATAGGAGCCGCTGCGGCTGCTATGGTAACAGGCCAGTAAACACTCTCCCCCCCCCCACAGTGGCGTAACAGCACTTCCCACTGTGATGTAACAGGACACCGCAGTTACTACGTGGCAACGGAACAGTATAAGAGGCCGGCTGAGTGTTGTGTGAGGGAGAGTGTGCGTGGTGCTGAGAGTGTGTGTTGTGAATCCCAACTGGCAGCCAGGGAGCAGGAGAGTGTGCGTGGTGCCAAGGAGTGAGAGTGTGGATTGTGAAGTCAGACAGAAGACAGTGGAAGACAGCACAGAGAGTTCAACTGTGCTACAGTATAGTGAGAGTTGATTATATGAAGGAACGACTGTGAAACAACTACTTTAACATTTTGTGTTATAGTTAACGTTGAATTGTAGTTACGGCATAGAAAAGTGACATTACGAGAATACACTCCTCGAGGTCTTGTTTCACAACAAGTGGAATGTCCGCAATTGGAAGTTGCTACCAAGCAGTGACTAGCGGAGATGTGACTGAAAATTAGTGTGTATGTAACAGTGTATTCATGCGCTGTATCAAGAGAATCTAATTAGTTTGTCGTCAATTCCAAACCCATCCACATTCACTCGTACACTAACAATATTAATTACCCTGTCAAGTTCTATGTCCAAATATTAGTGCCATCATGGCTGGCTTTCAAGGTATTGATATTAGATATATCTGTAAAAGTTTATTTTAACAATTTTTTGTTCAGACTTCACCAAATGTGCTAGTTGGTAAATAAAATACATTCTTTGGTCACAAGGACCACAGAAGAGCTCTGCCATCTCTTAATGAATTCAAGCTGAGAACTTACCAAATGCAAGTCTAAGAGTGTTACCGCAGGACTAACCTGTTTGGTGATAACACGGTCTTCTGGAGCACATGATACTCACCTGATCAAATAATTTCTTACTGTTGTTGAATTTTAAGTCATTTCCTTCACAAAAATCTATCATTGGATCTTATTGAGAGCCACTTTGATTCATCCGTATCTTCACAGTTTATTTCTCTAAGAGTTGTTTTCATATTTTCATCTTCTCTACACCAGAGGCAGTTTTCACTGCTGCAAGCATTGAAGTGTTGTTTTACAGTCTATAACCAGGTATACCTATATTTCTTTCTCTTACTTACTTACTTACTTACTTACTTATGGAGCTGAGCCCTTCTTGAAGAGAAGCCAAATCTCCAGCTACTCAAGAACTTCCCAGCATTTTATGGAACCCGAAGGTTTCCTATCTCGTTCACAAGAGCTCTCTGCTGGTCCCTATCCTGAGCCAGATCAGTCCACTCCATACCATCCCATCCTATCTCTGTAAGATCTATTTTAATATTGTCCACCCACCTATGCCTTGGTCTTCCCAGTGGTCTCTTTCCTTCTGACTTTCCCACCAATATCCTATATGCATTCCTTTTCTCCCCCATTTGTACTACATTCTCTTTCCATCTGGCTTTCCCACCAATATCCTATATGCATTCCTTTTCTCCCCCATTCGTGCTACATATCCTGCCCACCTCATCCTCCTTGACTTGATCATTCTAATTATACTTGGAGAAGAGTACAAGCTATGAAGCTCTTCCTTATGCAGTTTTCTCTAGCCTTCTGTCACTTCATCCCTCTTCGGTCCAAATATTCTCAACACCCTGTTCTCAAACACCCTCAATCTGTGTTCCTCCCTTAATGTCTGAGACCAAGTTTCACACCCATACAGACCACAGGCAAAATTATAGTTTTGTATATTCAAATTTTTATGTTTTTGGACAGCAGACAAGAAGACAAAAGGTTCTGGACTGAATGGTAGCAAGCATTACCTTAATTCAATCTCCTCTTAATTTCCTCCTGAGTCAGGTTTTGATTTGGTATCGTTCCCAAATATCTAAACTGTGCCACATTTTCAAAACATCTGTTTTCTATTGTTACGTCATGATTTTGCCCTGCATTATGGTGATGAGACAGCAGCATATAATTATATTTGCCTGTTTTTACTTCTGGACCAACCTCCTTATTTGCGTCAAATAAAGTTTGTGTGTTTTTCTTTATGGTATCACCCAGTAGATTCACATCATTGGCATAGACCAACAACCGATGTGTACCATTTAATTTCAGTCCCACCTGCTTTTCCTGGACCTTCCTAATAGCATATTCTAAAGCAAAGTTGAAAAGGATTAACAATAAAGCATCTCCTTGTCTTAGACCATTCTGGATGTGAAGTTTATCAGACAAATGTTTACCTCTACAGACTTTACTATAAGTTTCGTTTAAACACGTTTTAATCAGCTTAACTAGTTTCATGGTATCCCAAACTCTATCAGATTATTGTACAATACTTCCCTCCTAACTGAATCATAGGCTTTTTTTGAAGTCTATGAATAACTGATGTACTGTCTCATTGTACTCCAATTTTTTCTCCAATATCTGACAAATGCAAAAGATCTGATCTGTTATGATTATCCCCAATAATTTCATCTATGTATGGACCTAACCTTGAGAGAAGAATATTGGATAAAATTTTGTATGAAGTTGATAGCAGTGATATCCCCCGATAATTTCTACAGTCAGTTTTATCACCCTTCTTGTGAACTGGTACAATAATAGACTCCTTCCACTGATCAGGCAATTTTTCCTTATGCCAAATAGAAGTAATTAGTTTATGGATCTTAAACGTAATATTTCACCTCCTATTTGAACAAATTCTGCTGGAATTTCATCACTGCCTGGCAATTTATACCTTTTCAATTTTGCAGTAGCAATTTCAACCTCAAAAGGCCTGGGATCAAGTATTAATGGCTCAGCTGTGTGCATTTTTATCTGCCTAACAGCACTGACCCTATGTACATTCAGTAACTGTGAGAAGTAGTATTTCCACCTATTCAAAATGTTGTGTGAATCTGCAAGCAGATCACCATTCTCATCCTTCACTAAGTTACTTCTAGGTTGGTAACCCCTCTTATAGTCATTTATTCCTCTATACAGGTTTCTAATGTTCTTGTTCTTACTGTTCATTGCAAGCTCATCAATTTTTCTTTCAGATATTCCCTCTTTTTGTTCCTGAAATGCCTGCTGGTTTCACGTCTTATATTGTTCACATTATCCCCATTTAACTCGCTTGGATCCTGTAACCATTGCAATTTGGCTGTTTTCTTTGGTCTAATAATTTTGAGCATCCTTCATCGAACCATGGCTTATGCTTCTTCAGCTCATAATAACCTAGACTCTCCTTGGCAGAAATTTTTATATTCTCTCTAATAGTTTCCCAAGCTTTATTAACATCCACCTCACTGTCCAAGTTTTCCACAGCTGCGAACCTATTTGAGATTTCAACATGGTACTGCTCTTTACCCTCTACCTCATTTAATTTCTTGAGATTGAATCTCTCCATATGAACTCTGTGTGTTTGTTTGCTCACTGCCAGTCTTTCCCTAACCTTTGCCACCACCAGTTAGTGGTCAGTATCACAATCTGCTGCCCTGAATGATTGTACATCAAGTATACTTGAATGCTGTCTCCTATCTATCAAAATATGGTCGATTTGATTGTGTATCTTCCCATCAGGAGATATCCAAGTAAATTTATGGATGTTATGATGCAAGAACATTTTCCTTTTGACAATAAGATTTTTTATGTGGCAAAGTTTACTACTCAAACTCCATTATCATTACTAAGTTAATGCAAACTCTCATTCCCAGTTGTTGGTTTGAAAATGTCTTTCCTCCCTACTTTGGCATTGAAATCTCATAGCAAAATTTTCGTAGGGTACTTCAGGAATTTATCAAATACATGTTCTTGTTCTTCATAAAACCTGTCCTTTATGTCATCAATTTTATCTTGGGGCATGAACATTCGTAATGATGATATCACACCAGCGACCTTTTAGTATTATATATGATAATCAGTAACAAACTCTAGCCTCTTAACTGTTGATGCGATTTTCTTATGTACAAAAAATCCTGTACCTAATTCATGATTTTGATTCCCCTTTCCATAAAAAAAGTATAGTCTCCTGCTGGTGCGATGCCCCCTCCATCCCATCTGACCTCCTGTACTCCTGCTAAATCTAACTTATATTTTAAGAGTTCTTCTGCCACTGCCCTGAGCGAACCTGCCCTATACATACTTCAAACATTCTGTGTGCCAAATCTCATATCCATTTTCTTTAGCTTAGGTCGTTTATCCAAGGAATCCGTTCAGGTCTGAGGCTTCTTGAGAATATTTGTAACAAATGTATTTTTTACAGTAAGGAGTTGTTCAGCCCCATGCCCAACCCCAAGCTGGAGGACCATCCTTTTTCGGCTGTCCGCGACTGCATATTCAGTATATTCGCAGCTTCCCTCCATACCTGGAGGGCTTCTCCTCCATCCCCAACTTGAGAACGCACCATGCCATGGCGACAGAGACCCACCTATTCACAGTTATTGAAATTGATGTCTGAAAACAACTACATAGAATCTACTTTCTGTTGTGTTTGTTGATTGATGGAAAAACAAGTGGACCATGTTGTTCCTTCTCTTAGGTTACTGATGCGGCGGGATCATGTCCTGAAGTTATGTCTGAATCACTTCCTGAAGCCAGAAATTACATTCCGAGAGAAGGATGAAAAAACTTGGTTGTGGATTGCACCTGACTATTCAGAAGGTCATCTTCAGGAGGAAATGTTTTCTATTAGGTTCAAGAACAAGGAAATAGCTTCAGAATTTAAGGAGGCCATTGACAAAGCACAAGTAAGTAAACTGAATTTTAAGTACTTCTGTTGATTTTAGTATGTGGAGGATGCTGAGAGAGAGAAAAATGGAACATTAGAATGATATTTAAGTGTTTTAAATTGCATTGGTCCTAAAACTGTGTCCTTCTTTGTATTTTTTTTTGGTACTTTCTTCTTTAAACCTTCATAAAGTAGTAGGTGGGACTGTGTCATAAATAGTGTCATAACATGTCCTTGTCATAAGCTACATAGTATGTAATTTTCTCACCATCTCTCAGAATTTTTGGATATAACTTGTGCCAGTTTTTATGCAGTAGGTAACAAAGGAGAGTTCTACAAGAAGACCTTTTGGCGTTTTGTCTATTATGTCTTTCAACTTAGAGTAGCTTAGATATATGTTTTAATTCCATGGCTGGCAGGATCCATTTAGGAACAGTTTTAAATACAGTAATATTAGTGCCCATCAGTTTCACTTTGTAATGTAAATATAGCTCAGGATTACAGTCTTGGAAGTGAGATGTGTAGTTGTTAGGTAACATTTTGGAGGAACATGCTGCCTCCATCTTCAGGGTGGAGCTCTCTTCTGCCCTGATGATAGAAACAGCATATTCCTCCAAACCTTTGTTACATATTGTCATGTGTTGGGTGTATGTCACGCGACAAATAACTTCATGCCGTCATGAATATAGCGAATTTATTGTACTCACTCTCACAATTACACAATTCACAATTTCCCAACTACTGCCATTGGCAGTATCACAAATACTTCTCCTGTTGGAGTCACTGCCATTCACTCAATAACAGTGGACTTCAACTCACTCCGGCGAATGCTAGACTGCAACTGACTTCTGCTGCGCTCGGCGACTTCATGATCGACACTGTCACTCCTGATCACACACTCTGGTCACATAATGCTCAGCCAGCTTTTTATACTGTTCCCTGTTGCCTCGTGTCAACAGTGGTGTCCCCTGTTACGTCACAGTGGGAAGTGCTGTAATGTCACCGCAGGGGAAGGGGAGTGAGTGTTGACTGGTCCATTACCATAGCAGCAGCAGCAGTTGCTCTGATGCTATTATGTCACCGCTGGAGGGGGCAGGGTGTTTACCGAGCATTGCACCGTCCATGTCACAATATCTACCAGACTACATGGCATCATATCCAAGAGGATTGTAATCTTGACGCCATCATGAAAATTTAAAATCTTGTAAATATATATATGCACTAGATGTTATGTTAACTGACATGCTTTCATTTTGAAATTTAACTTTAGGGTATCAGCTAATGATATTGCTGGATTGTTTTCCCAAACAGGCAGAGCTGATATCATCTGCTGCACTTACAGATACATGTCTTACTGCAGCATCTTCACAAGATCTTGAGACTTCTCCTACTCCATTGAACAAGACAGAAGCAGGTGACAGTAGCTATCAAACTTTCTGTACACGTGCTCTTAATGCTGTTATTACACCTACATGTAGTTATAACACTTTACTCCAGTTGGTGATAGACTTTCAAAATTTATTGCTTTCTAATAAATTAACATTTGATGATGCCCTTGTACATTGTTCCTTGCTATGTTTGAATACCAGCCCTGAACCAAAGGAACTTGATTGCTTGACTAAAGCAAGTTTGAATCTAATCAACTGTAACATTAAGCCTAATCTTAACCTATTCCTTGATTTGGTTACAACTTACAGTAGCAGTATACAGTGTGATTTGAATGGTAATGCTGGTATTGGCATTGTTGAAATGAATGAGTTGAATGACATTATGCATGAAAGGACAAACATATTTACCATTTGTCATACAGAAGATGAATTCCATGGTCGCCTGGTAAATACTGGTGCAAGTTTCATCTCAGACAGTACAAGTTATGTAACAAATTTCAGTTTGGTTGCTGTTGTCTCATATAGCTCTGAAGAAAAAGAAAATGTGCCATTACCAGAATTCCTTGATACAACTTCAGTAATCTGTGTAAGAGGGAAGCGTGGCTTTAGAAACTCCTGTGCTTCTGCTTCTGAATCTCTGTTTGATCCAAGTGACTCAGAAAAAATGTACCTGCATATAATAGATAAGATTCTGATTGTGAGGTATTTTGATATTTCGGGGAGGGAAGTATATAATAATAACTCTCTTGATATCTCATATTTACTCATGTTTGTTGGAGGTAATGATAAAACAAGTGATCTTTCTACACTTCAGAGCCATAGCATTGTGCATGGCCATCCTATTCCCTCCCAGTCATCTGAAAATTGTAGATGTACAATGCATTGTACTATTGTTCAATTTGTGGAACTGAATAATTCAGAAAACCCAATCAGTTCCAGATGTGTTTGTAACGTTTTGTGTGATGGAAATAAATTCATACTCTTGAATAAGTTGTCACTCTTGCATCATGTCTGGGAACTTAGAGGAATAAAGGTTACTGGGATTTTTCGACCATTCTTTACTATACTTGACATATGCACCTTTTTTGTTGCTCAGGAAATCCTAGGTACTCTGGAAATGAATAATGTTTTGCCTATAGCCCCTGCTTACAGAGGACAAATTTCTGTCAATTCTAAGCATTATGATTATGAAATAGAGAATACTTGTATTACCTTAGCTGGATTTTTGTCTGATAATTGCAGTACCTTGGATCAGCCTCCATGGAAACAAAATTGTCAAGCCATAAACTGTGGAGCAGAAGCAGTTTCTTTCCAAGAACAGAGTAGAGTAATTGATGTAGGGTTGTCCTATGCTTGCATGTATAATTATTCAGAATTTCATTTCAGTAGGCATAATGTCCGAAACTTGCTTAATATTGTAGAGTTCAGGAAAAGGCTGTTCAGGGATGACTTACATAGTCGAATTCCTATTTCTAGGGTTTCCCATTATGCTTCTACTTCACTGCTGCAGCTATATCCTTTTTGCAATTGTTTGTTGCTTCACTGGCTGTTCTCTGAATTATCACATGGACCAATATTGAGCTTATCCTTCAGATACCATTACCGTTCTTATTGTTTATTATGCTTTGTATCACAGTTCAAATGTTGGTTCTTTTCTCTGACTGACAATAATAGTCTCAGAAAGAGGCTGCTATGCATTACTTGTCATGAAAGGTGTCATTTGCAATGTTGAGTGTAACGTTACCAGTTTGTTTGCTGCTGTTTGTGATTTTGATAGAATTTGTTTATGACATGTCTAAAATGAACATAAATATGCTACACACAGTGTACATTTTATATGCAGCTTTTAACTTCTTTCAGTCATGGTAAACTCTTTTTATTACAAGCTGGCAAGACATTGAGAAATGAGAAATTTTAATGATAAACTGTCCCAGATTCACTCTTATTATATTTAACATAAATTCTGAAATTATTGTGATGGTGACTAACAAAATAAGTTTCTTCTGTAAGTATGTAGCCTAATTGGCCTGCCAATGATTCATTCATTCAGTGAGCAGTGGAGTCTTTGTAAGCAGCACAATACTGTAACTGATGATGTCCAGATGTAATCTGACTAGAAGGAACAAAAATCATTTCTCGATAAATTTTTTAGTAGTTACCAATGCTTTCCTAGTGTTGCAATGTCCATTCTTCTGTATCACTTCCTCTTACAGACAGCATATTCAGGATTATGTATGATCAGAATCCATTTTATACTTCTCATTTCATTTTCTGTTTATGTATAACCTTGCTGAAGAAAGAGCAGTCTTCAGAATATGAAATACATGTTATTAAAAATCTTTAGCTATTTATTTCCATTTCATTTAACACTTCTGCAAAGAAGTTAGAAGAAA